ATATATATATATATATATAAATTCCATTGAAAACCAATGAAGTGCCGCTCAACTGTTCGTTGCCAAGACACGACATTTACTTAGGATTTAAATGTTTTAATTAAATCCTTATCCTTCCTAATGCAGAAAAAATAAAGCAAACATCCGATATGTCGATCAACTGTTTTGGTTGACAAGACATGCATCCATGTATGATTTAACTTTTTTAGTTAATCTATTCCGTATGTATGAATAGGTAAGGATTAGTATTTTGATCTAATTCCTTCTTCGTATGCCACCGTTCCATACTGGTGCATATAATGCAAATGATCCATAAATGATGCACACTCAATTGAATATCAAATACATCCAGAGACAAACATAATAGTAATCAAATATAGACAAGATCCTATTATGCATCCAGTATATGATTATAATCATAGATCCTCCTTTTAAATTGTTAAAGTAATGATAAACAATTTAAACCATCCATTTCCATATAATTGACAGAACAAAAATTATAACAGTTCAGCAATTAACATCCATAGCATGATATAATGATTATCAGAATTATAGACTGCACATTATATTAGAATTCCCAACCAATACTTCCATATTAGTTCATTTACATTGCTAAAACGAGGACTAGCATTTAAATCCTCCTCAATCTTTGACGGCATGCAAATTAATATTTAAATCTCATGATGTCCATTTAATCCTCAATCATATTTCCTACACCTGATATAATGGCACTCAGAAGTCTAGACGGAGTACATTATATGAAGTCCCAATAGTATTTTAATACTAGATTGTTTAATTTGCTAGAACAACCACTAGTAATCAAACTTCCATATTTCGTGACAACACGTAAATTATTGTTTAATTTCATGGAGTCCATTAACACAGTAAAACCAACATTCCTGGCCTTCATTAAATTATATATAAATATCATTTATATAAAATCTATAACATAACTCCCATACCAATCCTTTTAGTTTGCTCAACAAACTAGAAACTAAGTCTTCCTCCTTACTTGGTAGCATGCATAGTTTTCTTTAAAAATTCAAGATACCCCTTTCTAGATCATAAACCAATATTCCTGGGCCTTTAAATATGTTATATATATTATTTTAAAATCCCCAATTAAACTTCAGTATTGCATTTTAGCCCCTGAAGTCCGAAAACCACCAAAACCACTTACTGGGCATTTACATATGGTAGATGAGGCTCCAATATAAAGTAGAGGAGGCTCCAATTTAAGGTAGAAGAGGCTCCAATTTTAGGTTGAGTAGGCTCCACTCCCCTTGGAGCCGCCTCAACATCATGTGGAGCCGGCTCCACTTCAATGGAGCCACCTCCATTAAAGGGTAGAGCCGCCTCCACTCTCCGAGCCTCCATTTTTCCTTCTCCGGCGTATTCCAAACCCTCTGTCTTCCATTGCTTGGGTTCCTAGGTGTCTGAACTAGATCCCAACACATTCCCAACATGTATACAACACAGTATGCATCACAAATTTCAATTGAAAACATCTAATTAAGTATCACAATTTACATAAAACTGTTGTAGTTTAAAATTGACATGAAATCTGGATCAGTTAAAAATAGCATGCAATCCAACTATCAGTTTTTAAAAGTTGAATTAATTCCTAGAGACTAAAAAGGATGTACAGAACATAAGTTTACAGGAAGGAGATAGAATTAAACTTGCCTTTAGGTTCTGTTTGAAACCTTTCAACATCGTCTCTAAATTTTTCGACGACTGCTGACTACCGGCAAACCTCTTATAGCTTTGTTTCAATCCCACAAGCTATCCATTCCTTCCTCCTTGATACGACCTTCAGTTCTCAACTGAAATCCTAACTGGTTCTCTCAGTTTCCCTCGGTGTTTTTCCCCTCAAACCCTCTCCGTTTCTCTCTACCTCTAGTTACGGGAAAAGGGTTCTAAAAACCCTTACAGACACAAAGGTTATACGTATATAGGCTTCTATAAAACCCTATTTCTAATTCCCCACTAATTATAAGTCGGCTAAACCATGTGAATATACGAAACCCTAAACTTAAACTATATACAACTCAACACATATAAACCAATTAAGTCATATAAGCCACATAAAACACACACACGTCATTTAAAACACCAATTAAGTCAAATAATTAATTTAATAAACAATTAAACAATTAATTTAAAATAAACAAACAATTACAATAAATAATTAATTTAAATAAATACACAATAATCAATTAAGCAAATAAGCACATAATTCAAAGAAAATTAAATTTAAATTCCAACTATATCCTTTTGAAAATTAAGGGTATTACACAACTTGACCTCAGGCTTATACTTGATATTTGTAGAAGAGTAGCCGGTAGATTAGACAACACTCCTCGAATGCTCCAACCCTTTCAAAGTGTGATCACTTTTACTTCTGTTCTTCAATCGACTTGATTTAGAAGAAGATTTGCTTTTGTTTGATCGATATAGATACAACTGTATGATCACCATTAGAATTTGAATACCACAACTCTAACCTAACTAGGTGAATATGTGTGTGTTCTAGGAAGACAACAGAAAAATCAACTTTGATTTTCTGAGAGAAATAAACTTCCCAAGGCTTTGTATGATATATGAATAATGATGTAAAAGCTGTCAATAAACTTATGTGTATGACATGGTTTATATAGAGGTTTGCAAAGTCCTATTCCTTTTGAAAATAAAGGAAATTTCGCGCATAGGACTTGGAGGGAAAGTTGGATCAAAAAGGAATTAAACAGAACAAGGAAACTGGAAAACTTTTGCTATCAGGACACTTGGAACCGGTTCCCAATCTTAGTACCAGTTCCCAAAGGACAGAAAGAAGTTCTCGAATCTCAGCTTCTGGAACCGGTTCCCAAATGGAGGTACCGGTTCCCACTTGACAGAATCCAACTTGAACTTGGAATTTCTGTATTTTTGGTACTCTGAAAATATACCATGTAGGTAATTATGTCCTAAGTGGGAAACGATGTCCTATTGTGTTGTTCTTTCCTGTTTGATGATTAACATTACTTTCCTCTTCTGAACAACCTCTGAATTCCGCAGTCGATGTCAAGTCTGATATGGTAACTGAAATTACAACTCGACTAGGACTTGTTTTGTTACCGAAATATGCCAATTACACAAATATATATCACAAACACAGTGCAAGCACTCCTTTTGCCCGTGGCTTGCTATTTAGGAAAAAGTTACTCACTCAGGATAAGCCCTCTCTCCTTTACACTATGCAACCAAATGCATGTCCTCTATGTCTACAAGCTGCAGAGAGTCGTGATCATATTTTTCACAAATGCAATTACTAAGAGGTGCTCTGGAATGGCATCTAAAAACAATGTGGATTTTATACACATCCAAGTTCATGGAAGGATTTCCTCAAATTGGAAACAAAAGTTAAAATTCAGCCGAATCATGACATGGAAGCTGGTATTAAATAGCTATGTATATCATATCGATCCGGAAAGAGAGAAACAATAGAATGTTTTCAGGCAAGGAAGTACCTCCATTGCAGACACTCAATTTGGTGATCAACACAGTTCGTTCCAAGCTTTTTTCAATCAAGAAATGTGATTGTCCTTATGCTGCCCTCTTCCTTCTATGAGGCTGCCCAATCAAACCCCTTTTGTTACCGTTATTTTCTTGGTAGGGTTGTTACATTGAAGCTTTCAATTTGAAGGGCGTGTTTGGATAACCCTTTTTTGCTGTATTTCTATGTTTTTCTCTCTTAAGCTCTATGGAGCTTACTTCGGTTTGAACAGTCTGTGGCCCATATGGCTTTGGCCTTTTGGCTATGCCCCAATTTCTTTTGCAATTACATATTCTTTTTAATTAATCTTATTTACTTATCCAAAAAAAAAAAAAAAAAAAAAACCAGCAAGACTTCATTGACTAGTCGGTCGTGGAATAATGATGATTTTTATTATCTTTTGATTCGGTAAAAGACTTGTGCAAGAAATTCAATTAGTCCAGAATCAACAAGAAGGAAACCACTAACACCAGTCCACTAGAAAAACAAAACAGCAGGGAATCAATATAGCTTGAGGTCTAGGGCAAAATTTTAAAATAAATTTTTTTTTTTGTTTGTTTGTTAAAATACTAATATAAGTAACAATAATTGACTCTATTGGTCTTATTCAAATCATTCTTGTCATTTTTAATTATGAAATTATTATTTTTTGAATGTTTGAGTAGAGACCTCTAGGATTAACAGTAATAAAATTTACCAACATAATGTTTGAATACGTAGATATCTATTTTGGCTATTTTTCTTCTGTGTTACCTAGGCAATTTAAGTTTTGTTTGTTCATTCAATTCAATATTTAATTTTAAATAAATTAAGCGTTTACTCAATTAGTTCTGAAAATTTAAAAAGTATGTACCAAAGGAAAAAAAAAAAAAAAAAAAGTAATTCAATTTTATGATTATCTCTTAAAATTTCAATAATCATTTTTTATTTTTATTTTTATGAAATAACTATATTATTCTCATATTCTCATTGAACCAAGATGCATAGCCCGGGGAATAGAGTATCACAATTGAATCGTCTTCTTCTTCTTGGGCAAGAGAAGAGTGGTGAAACGCAACCATCTAATAACTTAAATTTTTTACGGTATAGACAACATTAGAGCCAAACTTGGTCTATGATCCGCTGTCAAGCATCTGTTCCTAGTCATGTAAATAAGGATGAAAGTCTTCCCAATAAAATTATATAGGTCTTTAGCGTTGCTGACGGGCTAGACTAATGCATTCCAAAAGAGGTTAATCAAATTTGCGTTGCTGACGGGCTAGACTAATGCATTCCAAAAGAGGTTAATCAAATTTGCGTTGCTGACGGGCTAGACTTATGCAAGTCTTGGCAATAAAATATAGAGGTGACTATGCATCCTCATAATCAACATACCATGATTTCGTTGCCATCTTATATAACATCATGCTAAGCCTTACTTGTTTGCGCGCCAAGTCCATAAAAATTTCACATGAATCTCAAACTCATGGAGAAGACTAGCTTCCTATTTTCTATAGCATTGTTGATACACTGTTGTTCTATGGTTTGTTTGGGTAGGTCCATTTTAAACTTGACCACCGATCAATATGCTCTTGTTGCCTTGAGAGCCCATATCACTTATGACCCTCAGAATGTATTGGCTAACAATTGGTCCATGACTAGCTCAGTTTGCAATTGGGTTGGTATCTCCTGTGGTCTCACCCACATGAGAGTAACTGCCTTGAATCTCTCTCTTATGGGTTTCGAAGGCACGATTGCTCCACATCTTGGAAATCTCTCATTCCTTACATCACTTGGCATCAGTGATAACCATTTCAATGGGTTTTTACCTAAGGAGTTGGCTCATTTGCGTCGACTGAAACAAATCGATTTGCAACGCAACAACTTCAATGGAGAGGTACCATCATGGTTTGGGATCTTACCAGAACTCCATCTGTTGCTTCTGTATAACAATAGTTTCACAGGTATTATCCCAAAATCAATATGCAACATCTCAAAGCTAGAAATATTGGCACTAGGTGTCAATTCTTTACATGGAAATATTCCTAGAGAAATCGGCAACCTCACTATGCTCAAGGAATTGTATATCGATACAAATGATTTAACAGGTATGATTTTTAACTCCGCATCTATCTACTAATTTTGATACAAGAAATTCTATAAGCAGAATGAAGAATTGATAAACTTGTTGTACATGTTTTTCCTTTTGTATGTAGCTAATAATTGTGCAACGATATCATGCATAACCCTAGCCAAATAGGTCTTGTAAGTTGTTTTTTTATTATTATTTTCAACGGTCGTGAGAATTTAACACCCCTATAGTATGCATATAGCTCATATAGCTCCCTATAGGTTCTGAAAATTTCCTAATATTTTACTTTAGGGGTGAATAAGGACCTCCCCTCATTCGGCCGTTAATGGAACTATAAAAATACTAAAATGCACTTTCTACAATTAAAATAAAAAATAATAAAATATTCAGTTAATGTAAAATGACTATTATGACCTTTATTAAACAAATTCAATTAATGTAAAATGAGTAGTTTGGCTTTTATTAAACAAATTGAGTTAAAAGAAGGGCATTTTTGGTATTTAAATTGTAAAAATAGTAAACAAATTCATTTAATGTAAAAATTCAATCAAAGAAGGGTATTTTTGTTATTTAATACAATTAATTAGTCATGTGCGACGCACATGGTTTGTTAACGATACTTTTATAACCGTTGACTGCCGAAAAACCCTAGTCTGCAACATTTTAATTTTTTTAGGGAATTATATACCCAAAGTAAAAGAAATGGGTATTTGCTCAAAATGTAAACCTTACAGTTGTTTTATACACTTAGTCCTATTTTCAATGAGTACACTTAATATGTAGAAGTGTAACTTTAATATTTAAATCCTTCAACATGTCCCTTTACATTTGGCCTTTTTTTGGTCCAATACGTGTTTTAATTATTAAGGTGATGGTAAACGTTGAACATAGTCAGGGACGAAGGCACATTGAAGGCAGTGGGGGCGATCGCCCCCAATGAAATTTTTTTTTTTTTTTTTACTGTATATACCACTAAGTTTTCATATTTTCAATTATATACCTATAAAATTTTCACTTTGGCCCCCTAAAATTACAAAAAAAATTACACTAAATTCACTTTTGCCCCCCTATCCCACAACTTCCTGGATCCTGGATCCGTCTCTAAACACAGTTGTTAGCTTTGTTTCGGTATCATGTTAACAATAACATAATCTAAAAATTTAAAATATTAAAGAAGCTAGGTGTAATTTTAATATTTAAATATATAGGATTTATTTTGATTTTATTGGTATATATAAAGGTGGTTCTAAATTTACCTAAAACAAGGTATGTTCTGACAATTTTGCAGGGGTAATTCCGTGGGAGATAGGTAATCTCCTACTACTCGAAGTAATGAGCTTAACGAGTAACTCTCTAACAGGGTCCATCCCGACTTCCATTTCCAACATTTTGTCCTTGAAAGGGCTGTTTCTTTCTTTCAATCATCTCACAGGTCAAATTCCATCTGGCTTATGGAAATGCAAAGGGCTTCAAGAACTATCATTGTCATATAATAAATTAATGGGTAGCATATCCAAGAAAATTGGGAATCTTACACCGGCCGAAGTACTGTATCTTGGTTATAACAACTTGACAGGTAACTTCAAGACTAGAATACTTTTATTTTATTTTATTTTAGTAAAATTGTTTTCCTTGTACATAATCTACCTGTATCATGTATAAAAATAAAAAAAATGCTTCCATCGCTGGAGAAGCTTGCAATTTCATACAATGTCATCAAAGTTGTACATTAACGAAGAGAGTTAATCACGTACTTAGAAAATGATTGTGATGGACGTGCCAGAACCAAATACTTGGTTCAGGCTTGTAGCCTTGTAAACGTATGGTCGAATTATAGTCTCTTTTGAGAAAATAATTTATCAGGCGATTAAAGAAAAAGAGTACATAAACTTCCTAAATGAATTCTATAGTGAATTAAGGAAAGGACTTTCTAAAAGAATTGCTAAGTAAATAAAATTGATTTGATTTGAAAGGAAATGACTGAAATTGTGTGGAAAGAAATAAACTGGAATCGGAATGCTTGTCGACGAAAGTAAATAAGTAGGAAACGGGAATTGCAATTGAAATAAAGATGCAAGAAACCAGCGCAACAAAGAAAATTAGTACGCAAGGAAAGGAAAGAAACTGAGTTGCAATGTAAACTAAAGTGCAGAAATAAGGAAATTGCAATGAAAGGAAATTCAAGAATGTATGTTGAGTGGGTTCGGTTTCTGATGGTGTGTGGGGGTTCTTTATTATAGATGTCACAAGAAGCAGTGAAGGGGCGATATAAAGTTACAAAATATGATGGACCTAGACAAAAGCCTTGGCCGGAAGGAGGAGAAGTAGACTAGTCAATGAGATATATATGTGATGAATGTAAGTAATCTGTTTGCCTCGTGTGGCTTCCGTCCCCCTTTACGTGCGCAAAGGGTTATATTTATAGTCTCAGCAAGCTGTCTGGTTTCCTAGCCCTCGAGAGATAACTCTCAGTGCTCGAGCCTACCTGGCTAGGCCAGTCATCATGACCCCTCTAGGTGCAGTAGGGTTAAGATGATCATTTGGCTCGAGGAGATGCTACTTTGCATTAAATGCACATCCCCCTCAGAAAGTGGTGGTAGCTGAGTGCAGTAATAGTGATTATAAGTGTTTTAATGGAGGCACGTGGTGGTTTCATCATCTCATTAACTAGGCCTACAGGCTAGGTGTACTCTAGCATCTCATCCTCCAAACCAAAGGTCTTTCTAGATTCCCAAGTGAGGGGTATAAGCCCTCGAGACCATCTTACCTTGGTGTCGAAATGGGTCTATACCCTGAAGGAGGTATCCTCGAGCGCTCTTACGTGGGTGCAGTTTTGCTCGAAGAGCGTTTATGAAGGTGTGCCCGAGCTCCGCTAGAGCCATGCGGATATGCTACGTGGATATGTGGGATCCCCTATATTTAGTCCCTTTGTGCGCGTGCGCTATCAGTGGAGGGGGGTGTGTTCATATGAATATAGTCGTGGGTCGAGAGGTTTCTGCAGACGTGATGGTTCATTTAATGCCGCCATTTCAAAGATGCTTGAAATCATGCATCATGAAAAGCCATTATAAGAACGTCGTTTTGTGTACCGTCGTTTGGCGTCTTAAAAGGTAGGAAAGGTTCTTTCTCAAAGTGCTGGTTAGTGAGTGCATGAATTGAAAATAAAATAGTGTGACACCCGCTTCAGTGTTTAGAGAGAGAAAGAAAAGATTGAGAGGAAAACACTTCCACCATTGGAGCTTTACAAAGTAGTAGTGGATTAGAGAGAATGCCACCACAGAGAGAATTGAGTAAGAAGGATGAGCCTTCACCGATAATCCCTTCAGGAACTGAGTGTTATAGAGCCCCATTCTTTGGAGATAGGGATTTTTTCTGGTACCGATCAGAGCAGTATGTAGAATAGGGTGGAACCTCTGAGGCGGCGGCTGCGATGCAGCCAGTGGGGGAGATTGGGGCGGATCCGCCAGTACTTGTGGGCTCAGTATTTCAATTTAATATTTAGAGGGGCTATATTCCCTTTTCTTTTATTAATTTGATGTGTCATTATAAACTGATTAATGCTTGGGATGAGTGGATGGACCATATTATGGCGTCGCCGGCGTGGAGACAACGACTGGATATGGACTCAATACGTTTGTTTAGAACTTTGTCCTACCCTCGAGATCACGATGCAATCGAGTTGATGATGTCGAGATGGAGAACTGCTATGCACACCTTTGTAACAACGTGGGGTGAGTTGATGCCAACTCTCGAAGACGGATGCCAACTGCATGGGCTAAGTTTTGAGGGCCTTTAGAATCCTATTGCACTTATCCTTGACGAGGAGAAAAAATAGTTGGCCAATGAACTGCGTCTTGGGGTCGAGGAGGTGAAGACCTATGACTTGAAATTTTGGAAGGATGGCATAGAGTTGCTAGAGCGAGGAAAAAAGGGAAAAAGGAGTACTTCTTTCGGGGCATAGACTTGGATGCATTTTAAAGAAGTCCAAGTAGCCAAGAAGAGGGTGCTATATGATAAAAAACGAAGGTTAGAGGGCTAGTGGTTCGATCGTGATGTTGGGTTGGCATTATATCTGTTATGCTGGTTAATGAGATTGGTCCTCGAGGGTACACCGGAGGATACAGTGGATCCGCATCATATCGAAATAGCGGTGAAATTATCTCATGGCGTTCCCTTGCCTTTGTCACAAGTGTTCTCGGGGTCTTTATACCATAGATTGAATATGGTAGTGACAAAACTCTATACGCTCTGTGGGGTGCTATGTTATACATTCGCATGCCTCGAGTATATTTTTGCAGTTGTTTCTATATGAAAGGTTTCCTTGTTATGCGCCACATCCACGAGAAGTTCTTACGAATGTTGGAATGCGAGAATTTAGGTGGCAAGGTAGGGTGCCTTGCATTGGCCTGACCAATGTTATATACTTGAGCCACGAGTTCGTGTGGCGCCACTTTACAGAAGATATTCCTAGGGTAGAGCCACTTGTCACGGACTTGAACCTTTTCAAGCTCCCGTGCGGCCTTAGACACTTTCAAGCCCCCTTGAAGCGCTAAGTCAGCCTACCCGAGTGTGCTAGCTTAGTGAAGACTAAGGCTAGACAAGTGTTTTGCCTACTTGGGTGTGTAGGAAGAGGTTAGGCAAGTGAGCAAGAGAGTTTGGGAATGTATAGAACTTGTATTACTTGAGAGGAGAGATTACAACTTGGTTGCTTGGTGAGGAGCAAATGAACTCCCACCTCCTATTTATAGGCCTTTGGCCTTACAAGAACATTCTAGATGTGTACAAATGTGTGGCCTAGATTTAGTGTCTAGAATCCTCCAGAAATATTTACACAACTCTAGAACTATCTACTATGTACAAGACAAGTCTAGAGAATTCTATACAACTCTAGACAAGTCTAGAAAAGGCTAGACAACTCCACACTAATCTAGAGAATTCCGGAAAGTTCCATACTTGTGTAGAGAAGTCTAGAAAACTCCAATCCATGCAGGCTCCATGTCATCGTCTGCTGGGCGTCTGCGTGGCGCCTACGTGGCATAGCCTCTTGGTAGCGGGGTGTGACATTCTCCCCCACCTAAGCTCGCGACGCCCTCGTCGCGTCTTCTTGCTTGAACCGCTGGATATGCTCTGCGAACTGCCATAGTGTATCCTCATGCTCCCAGCTCGCCTCGCTATCTGGCAGGTTCTTCCACTTCACTAAATACTCTGTATATTTGGGCATACCTCTCCTGCTCATCACACGATCTGCAAGGATGCAATCAACTTCCTTGTCAAAGGATGTGACAACGGCCGTGGGTGCCCTATGCGATATGCCCCGAGTAAGGTCTTCCGTGTCTTCATGATAAGGCTTGAGCATGCTGACATGGAAGACTGGATGTATCTTCAACTTGGGTGGAAGCTCCACCATGTAGGAGACCTTGCCCACCCGCTTGACGATGGGGAACGGGCCCTCGTACCTCCTTACTAGCCCCTTATGCACGCTTCAGAAGGACTTGAATTGTTGGGGTAGTAGCTTAACCATCACTTGGTCTCCCACTATGTACTCCACCCGCTTTCGCTTGGTGTCGGCCCACTTCTTCATCTTCTTTGCTGCCTTGTCAAGGTACGCCCTAGCCAAGTCGGACTGCCCATGCCACCTCTTGGCAAATTTGTAGGCCGCCGGACTCTTACCATCGCAAGTTGAAGCAATGGCGTTGGGTGTCATAGGCTGCCGTCCGGTGACAACCTCAAATGGACTGTGATTGGTAGCCTCACTCCGCTGCAAGTTGTAAGAAAACTGTGCCACCCCAAGGAGTTTGGCCCAATCTCGCTGATTAGCACTCACATAGTGCCTCAAATAAAGCTCCAGGAGAGCGTTGATGCGCTCTGTCTGCCCATCTGATTGGGGGTGGAAACTCGTAGAGAAGTTAAGATCCGTCCCCATCTTCTTGAAGAGTCCCGTCCAAAATCTACCCGTGAAACGCGGGTCTCTATCACTGACAATATTCTGCGGAACTCCCCAAAGCTTGACCACATGGTCAACAAATAACTCTGCTGCCCTCTCTGCTGTGCAGTCTGCTGGTGCGGGTATGAAGGTGGCATACTTGCTGAATCGATCTACCACCACTATAATGCTCCCGCAACCCTCTGACTTGGGTAAGCAAGTGATGAAATCCATAGAGACGCTCTCCCATGGTCTCTCTGGAATAGGCAGTGGCTCTAGTAGGCCTGCAGGATGCTGTTGCTCAATCTTATCTTGTTGGCACACAAGACAAGTCCTCACATATGTCTCCACGTCATCTCGCATCCGAGGCCAATAGTAAGAATCTTCAAGGAGTGCTAGTGTGCGCCGCATACCTGGGTGACCAGCCCATTTGGTGTCGTGGCACTCCCGTATTAGCTCCTTCCGCAAGTTGCCCCACCTGGGCACAAAGAGTCGGTCCCCCGTAGTGAGAAGTAAATCATCCCTTAGCCAAAAGCGCCGAGTCTTCCCTTCCTTAGCTAGCTGAATAAGGCTTTTGGCTAGAGGGTCATGCTGTAACCCTTCTTTGATTCGCTCCACAAGAGAGTGTTGGGGCCGACTAATAGCTGCGAGCTCGGCCTTGCGACTAAGTGCGTCCGCCACAACATTGGCCTTGCCCGGCTTATATTCGAAATGGTAAGTGAACTCCGCTAGGAAGTCCTGCCAACGAGCTTGCTTGGGGCTAAGCTTCTTCTGTGCCTGGAAGTAGCTGGTGGCAACATTATCCGTCTTGATCACAAATTGTGCCCCGAGCAAGTAGTGCCTCCAAGTACGTAGGCAATGGATGACCGCCGTCATTTCTTTCTCTTGCACAGTATAGCGCCGCTCAGTGTCATTAAGCTTGCGGCTCTCATAAGCTATGGGGTGTTCTTCCTGCATCAACACACCCCCAATAGCGAAGTCTGATGCATCCGTGTGCACCTTATATGGCTTGGAGTGGTCGGGCAAGCTAAGTACCGGCTCCTCCGTAACTGCCCTCTTCAAGTCATCAAATGCCCCCTGGCACGACTCTGTCCAACTCCAAGCACGCGCCTTCTTGAGAAGGTCTGTCAATGGGGCTGCTCTCGCCGAGTAACCCTTGATAAAGCGGCGGTAGTAGTTGACAAGCCCAAGGAATGAGCGTAGCTCTGTCACCTTAGTGGGCGGCTCCCACTCTTGAATGGCCCTCACCTTTGCCTCATCCATCATCAGCTTGCCATCCCGTATCTTATGCCCTAGGAACAACACCTCCTCTTGGGCAAATGAGCATTTCTCCATCTTCACATATAGGTCGTTCTCCCGTAGGACTTGGAAGACCGCCCTCAAGTGCTGCACGTGCTCCTCTAGAGTGGTGCTATACACAACAATATCATCCAAGTACACCACCACAAAGTGATCCAAGTAGGGATGGAAGAGCTTGTTCATCAAAGTACAAAAAGTAGCAGGTGCATTGGTGAGGCCAAACGGCATAACAAGAAACTCATAGGAGCCATACCTCGTTATACACGTAGTCTTAGGCTCATCCCCGTCCGCTATCCGCACCTGGTAGTACCCCGAGCGCAAGTCAAGCTTAGTGAAGTAGCGTGCTCCACCAAGCTGATCAAAGAGATCGGCAATGAGAGGAATGGGGTACTTGTTTTTGATAGTCACCTTGTTGAGCGCCCGGTAGTCGATGCACATGCGCAAGGACCCGTCCTTCTTCCTCTGGAACAACACCGGTGCGCCATATGGGGCCTTCGATGGTCGAATATAGCCCGCATCTAACAGTTCCTTAAGTTGCCTCCGCAACTCCTCCAACTCTGGGGGTGCCATCCGGTAGGGCACCAAAGCAGGGGGTTTAGAACCCGATTCCAGCTCAATCTTATGATCCACCTCCCTCCTAGGTGGAAGCTTCTTGGGCAGCTCTTTAGGCATCACGTCCGTGTACTCGTCTAGCACGGCTCGTATCTCCTTAGGCACCTCTTCTTGTGGGGAAGGGACTAGCTCATCTTCGGGTGTCTCCAGTAACGTAGCAAGGTAGCTAGTCTCTCCCTTCTTGAAGCCCTTCTTGAATTGCATAGCTGACAAAGCTTGGGCTTCCAACTTGGCGCCTCGCTCCACTGGCACCATGCATGCTGTGTTGCCTTCCATAATACACATAGTGTTAGCAAAAGGGATGGGGAAGGCTCTCACCTTGTCTAAGAACTCCAACCCAAGGACTAGTTTGAAGTCGTCCATGGGTACCACCGATAGATCTATGTGGCCACCCCACTCGCCAATGCATGCTTGGACGCCGTGTGCCATGCCATGTATGGCCTTTGCTACCGAGTTAACTGCCTTCATGGAGCCCCCTTCTTTGCTATACTTGAGGCCCAATCTCTTGGCCTCGTCAAGGCTCACAAAGTTATGGGATGCACCCGTGTCCACCAAAGCACGTGTGGGTGTCCCATTGATACTCGCCTCCACGAACATTAGCCCTTTAGCCGCCGCCTTAGGGACTTCAGTTTTAGCCTTAATGGCATTAAGGATTTGCAACGAACCCATCTGCGCCTCCTCCTGTTGTTGCTCTTCATAACGGCTCGTCATGGCATTGAGGGTCTTCCGCTTTGGGCAATCTCGTACCCAATGTGGTCCATCACATATGAAGCAAGAACCCTTAGGCTTGGGTGCTCCTTCCTTGTTCTCCCTTCCCTCTTTGCCTCCATGGCCACCACCTGGCTTACGGGACCAATCCTTGTGGGGTGCAGCGCCCTTGTCTCCCCCACCTTTGCCGGCATACCTCCCCTTGTCCTTGTCTTTGTCTTTTGGCTTGGACGAGGGTTCCTTCTTGGAGCTGAAATCAATAAAGGACTCCGCCTCTGCAATAGCTGTGGCAAGGTCTTGCACGTTGCGCCGCCTTAACTCCGTCTTAGCCCACAACTGCAATCCATTCATGAAGAAGAAAAGAGAGTCCTTGTCGGATAGATCCGGGATCTCAAGAGTCAAGTTAGTGAATTCCTTCACATAGTCCCGAATCGACCCAACCTGTTTTAGCCTTCGGAGTCTGCCCCTAGCTTCATCCTCGGCATTCTCAGGATAGAAATGTTTCTTAATTTCCCTAGTGAAATCAGCCCAAGTATCAATAGAGACCGTACCTTTGCCTATGTCACCATACTTTTTCCTCCACCATAGCATGGCATGGTCGGTGAGGTAGTGGGTCGCCGTACGTATCTTGATGGTCTCATCGGTCATGCCTGTAGCCTCAAAGTATTGCTCCATGCTGAAGAGGAAGTTCTCCAACTCCCTCGCTACCCGGTTCCCACCATAGCACTTAGGCTTGGGAATATCAACCCGGGGTGCTACTACCCCCGTAGTAGCTGTGCCGGACGCCACCGCCCGTTTGCACAATGTCCAGTCCGCTCGCATTTCCTCCACTTGCTCGCGGAAAGTGCCAAGCTCCTGATCAACATAG